TTGTTTTGGCTTTTCTAGCGCAGTCCTCTACGTTGTTGCTTGAGCAAGAAGAGCATTGAGGTCCACTTTTGTCGGCACCTGCAAAAAGACATATCATGAAAATGATATCAATATGATCGTGTTAAATCCAAAGAAGGACAGCAAGTGACGTGAAGCTGATTCTGCTGAAGTTCGTCATTCGGTATGTTGACAGAGGTGTCTCAAAAATGTGAGTCACCTTATAGAAGCACAATATGACCGTTAGAGCCCCATGTGCATCCAAGAACCATAGCTCGATATTTTTCAAATACGAAAATTCGACATCTTTGATTTTGGTCCAATYAAAAAGCACCTTCAAGAAGAGATCATTTGTAAGACAGCAGAAACGATCGCAAATGTTTATGGATGCTCATAGTCCTTTAACTAACTTAATCAKTCTAACGAAACATACTTCTTCTTAACATGCCAAATGGAGATCGCTTCCCCTTAAACCAAGCTTCAATCTTTCTTCTTCTTTCCTGTTTCTTTCTTTCTATTTTAATCGTAAGTAGGTCCAGGATGCTGAGACCAGTGAACGGTGTTGAYGTGTTTGGAACTTTAGACGTTGATTTATTACTAAATAGATTGTTTTCAGACTCGGTGGGAGTTGGGAGWGTTGAGGCAAAATCATCTAGAAAGATTATGAATCTTATTTATTTATAGAATAAAACCTGATTTATCGATTGATGAAGACATATTGAGATGTTAGCAGTTAATTCATGAAGTGTTTGTTTGTTCATTGGCAATTTTATAGTCTTTCTGAGCATTTTCATAATTAGTCAGTCAGTCAATCGACTGACAAAGAAAATGAATAAGGAATGAATAAATAAACAGCGAAACAAAAACAGTTATCTTCCAAAGAATTGTTAACTTACCATCGACATGATCTTTGAGTGACATGTGTCCATCAACTGCTGCCACGCCCACAATGCATACCTATAGWACGAAAGAGAAACAGGCAAGARTTAAAAGATAATGAAGTAATATTTCATTTTAAAGTCAAATGAAAGGAAGTCAGATGTCTACGACAATAGTCTGAGTGTTCAAAGCTGAAGCTTTATATAGCGCATATAGCATGACACCATCTTATGATAAAATGGCTTCCAGCGATCATTAACCGCATAAGTTCCAATGTAATAGAGCGGATACCATGAAGCGCAGATAGTGTGAAAAATCAGTAATCAAATAGTGCAATATAGTGTAGATTAGATAATAGAAAACAAAAGMATTATTCATACAATTCAGTACAAGATTCAACTGATTATTTACTAAGCAAAGTTTTAATGGTTTTAGCGTTGAGACTCTAGCGATAAAACTAAAAGTGTCGAGGTCATAAGCTCTCACTTTGAMAATCTTTATTGATACTTGTCATTTTAGTAAAATCTTAGCATTGCTATTGAATTGGATTTGATGCTGTAGAATTGCAATTCGTAATTGTAGATAACTTTTTATCCACGACAAAAAAWTGACAACAAGAGATGTCATGTTCGACAAAAAAAACTCCGAAGTTAGAACCTATTGTGTTGCAAAAGCATTTTCGCTATCTTCGATTAAAAAAAAAGCAATATTAATGATTTTGATGTATGATACAATACTGATTTCTTATGAAGCTCTTACCGTCAAACAAACAAGAAGCTTGGCCATTTTGCCTCCCAAAAGTTCAGCTCAAATAATTTTATACTAGACGCAGTGACTAGAAGTCTTAAATAAAGCCCTTGCGGCTGATGACAGCMCCTTATAAATGCTTGGTCTTACACAAAAGTGGAATAWATTACCATTAATTAWGTTCAAATCGATATATTTCCGGTCTGGTATTGTTAACCAGTAATGTGCTGTYCAAAAATCACGTTATCATTTARCTAAAGCTACAAAAMTTGACCATGTTTGCTATAAGGTCAAACCTTTAAGTCTACCTTCCGTCTCGTTCGTCATATACCCATCCCGGTGCCCGGAAGCGATGTGTGACGTCAGAAGGGRTGACGTGTTCTAGCTGRTYGGAGAGAATGTGGTTATTTAGGGAATGCAAACATACTGTTTTGAGAACTTACGGAAGGATTGCCATTTCAGGAAAAAATAGTAAAAAAAATTACAAATAATAAGTCCACGAAGAAAAATATAATAGTATCAGCAATCGGGATTTCCCTGTCTTCCCTGTGTCTACGATTAGAAGAGTGTATCGCGGGCGCGTACGAAACGCGGTCTCTTACTATCTACCAAGTTGAAATTCTCACACTAATAGTTGATACTTTTTCTTGCTTTTTAAAGATTTGAATTACTTAAAATTTGGTGTTTTTAATCACAAACGATAAATTAGTGACTTATTATAATTTGGTACATTTTTGATACAACTAAGTTACATGTAAAACAAACTCAGCTTTAAAAGTTGATCGAAAAATTGCATATAAAGGGCTCGTTTGACGTTAAATCATGTAAAGATTAAATAAGAGACAAAAGGGATTAATTGTAAACACTTTTTCTTCACTGGAATGTTGTTTACAATACTTCAATATTTTTCTGAAGTAGTTTCTTTTATCTTTATGTATTTTGTGGTATTTTCCTGGGCGATAAGCCAAGGCATTTTAAAGAATACAAGGCAAGATGTTTTCGCCGTGCAATAGGAATAACATTCTTTCTCTATTAATCATTGTTATTGACAGTTTTCTACGTTTGATGTAAACAAACCTTAAGATATGGATCTCGTGATGTTTGGTGACGACTAAAGCCAGTCATTTCCTGATATATTGTTATGGACTCCCAACTCTTATGATGCATTCAGTTGGCTGGGGTCAGCATTCCATGTGGAATATGAATCGCTATTTTTAGGCAACGTTATATAAGGGAATCTGAGTAAAGTTGACGCACTTTTTTCAACGTACGAACTTCGATGTACAATTTTGTGCAACTTTTTTTTGGTAAATGGTTTTCCATAGTGCAGCAGAGAACAATGGTAATCCWAGGGATGTTCCGTTTAATTTACATATTCATTAAATTTTGTTTTCGTGTGATTTTGAACAATTTCACGGATTAAATACGTTCTTTCTACGATAAATTTTGAGCAGCATAAAAGAGGGAAAATAAAAGGCTAGAGTAATCGCACTTAATCCGTGCAACTGTACAAACTAAATAGTTCTATTTAGTTGTATTAAGTAAATCGTGCATGTGATACGCAAACTAAATTGAATTGATACAAATGAAGCATTCAATACCGTCTTGCTTCAGGTCCACTTTTAGTACAAATTAGTACTACTTAGATTTTGTACAGTTGCACGGATTAAGTCCGTTCACACTAAGATTGGGGAATAGGAGAATAACAGAAATACAGAGAAAAGTGCAGGCCCTCCTCTTCCCCCTATCTCCCTTTGCCAACTTAAATGTAATTTTATTGTAAATTTGCAATTGTACAAATAACAAGTCATGAGTCTGAATGATTTAATTTTAATCCCACTTTTCAAAGGTTTACTGTTACACTGAATCTATCAATCTATCTTAATTATCTAAATCGATTTGCGTTGGAAGGCCACCATGAAGCTCAATCCTTCGGTAAYTTTGGCATCTACAAATAAWAAACAAGACATGAATTCAAATTTCGATGAAAAACAGATGACGTCACATYGGCGGCCATATTGGTGGCATCGACAAAGATTTGCCACTATTGTTTAAAATACCAACATATCCTTTTCTCATTGAAATGTGAAACAAGAAATTCTACGTGTTTATTTAGGTTGGGCTGCCATCGGGCAATTATCACACAGGCGACCGACCCCCTGGTGAGTAGGTGTTGGTTTCACTTGAAATTGTTTTCATAAACTTGCGTACAGGAACTTGTTATGTAGGTCCGACATAATCATTTGAAAGGTCTAACAACGTAAATATTTTTAGCTATGAAAAGCTTCTCTGAACCATGTAACTAAATAATTTTTAAAATAAAGTCTGAAACTTACAGCCATTATCCGCTCCCACTATAATACGATGAAACTGCGAGRCAATTGCCTTTGTAAGCAACTTTGATTTGCTTTTGTTGTTTACATGATTCAACCTTCAAAAGACATTCGTTGCTGTATGTTTTGCCGTCGCTACCGCAAACTGGTTTGAGGATTTTGGGACATGCTTCGTTACAGACACATTTGGGTTTGTTGTATTGTACTTTGCAAACAGCATAAAATCCACACCTCACCGTACTACAAGGATCCACTAAAGATACAAAAAATATATCATAAAAAAC